GGAGGCAGCGCTCTCCCTTCCACTGCCCCCGCGGCCCACAGGCAGGCCCGTTCCCATGCTTTTTGGTACTCTTCACAGCCCCAGTCAGGACACTCTGCAGATGCTCAGTGAATGGTCTTTTCTGACTGGTTTAAGGAGAACCAAGTTGTGGGGGCTTCAGGGAAGAAGGAAATGAGACCCCTTGAGCATTCCATCCCCTTTCAGAATTCAGGCTTGCCCATGGATCCCTGGCAGTGGACTGCATACCCCTCCCAACACCAGGCAGCGCTGGGCAGCATGGCCCCAGCAGCACACCCAGCCAGGGAGCGTGAAACCAAATCGTGCCCCGAGGGGCAATCAGTCAGTTCCTTTTCATTTACTTATTTGTTTTTAAATAGCAGAGCATAAAGCTATGAAAAGGAAAAGGAAAGTAAGGGAAATACCTGCCTGGATAATTCCTTATGACTGGGGCAGCCACCTCGTGAACCTAGTTTCTGGGAAACAAAGAGAAAAGCCACTAGCTGGCAGGCAGGCACTGGGGAGTGTGTGGCACTGTGTGTGTCCCCTGGGGGTTAGTAGGTAGCTTACTGAATTTCCCCAGACCCACAGGTACCGCCCCGGGCCTGCCAAGGGTGGCCGCTCTGGACACTGTTGTGGTCAGGATGATTTTCACATCGTTTTGGATCGTGGTTTCCAATTTTTCTCCATCAAATGTTGTAAGCTGCCACTTCCTTCTCCTGCTGAGCCTCCCTTTGAAACAGCTGACATTTGTGTCTGCAGAGTCCTCACCCCACTGGTTATTTAGTTTATGCCTGTGCAGGCCTTGGGGTGGGTTCCCAGGACCTCTGGGAGAAGATGGCTGTGGGTGGTCATTCTTGTGTTCGCCCCACAGCGGATGCTGCTGGAGGGAGGAGGCAGGAGACAGGGAGGCCATCAGTGTGGTTTGGGTCTTTGTTTTTGTTACCAGGCCAGGGGTTGGTTTTTCTGTTGCTGTTTCTCTGAAACCCTTTAAAACACAACTGAAGGTGGAGCTTCTTTTCCTGGAGGGAATTGAGAGGATGCCATTAGAAGGCCTGGAGGTACAGGAATAGACCTTTGGGTGCTGGCCCTGAAGGTGGCTAGAAAATGAGACGAAGCAAAGGTAACGTTGTTGAGCACAGTGCTATGTGTCAGACATTGTGTTTGCACCTTGCTCATTGGCAAGGGGGACCCACATCTGATGCTGGGTTCCCAGCCTGGGACCGCAGGACTGGGCTATTCAACTTTTTGGTTCCAGCACCTTCCTCTCCCAGGAAGGACATTGGTCCAGGGCTTGCCGTGGCCTCTTACTCTAGTTTGTAGAGACTCCTTGCTGCTCATGTTTGCTTTTCCCTGGCTGTCTGGGTCTCACTGAGTGTGCAGCTGGCTTCTCTTCCTGGGTGAGATTTAGAGATGATAAAGCGGACAATCATGGCGTGCTCATGTTGGTCAGAACTCTTTTGGTTTCAAGTGACAGGAACCCAACTTGAATGAGCTTAAGCAAAACTGGGATGCCTTGGAAGGTTCTAGAGGAGCCTCAGAGACTCAAAGGAGGAGCTTCAGAGTCCAGCCCCCAGGAAGAGAAGAGGCGACCTCAGCATCCCGGGACCAGAACCCCCCTGTTCAGTGGCCCTTGGCTGTAGACAGCTCCCAGCTGACCCCACACAGTCCTTCGCCTGTCCCAAGAGAACCCAGCCTCCCCTAGAATTTTTCAGTTTGGAACTTGGTCCAGCTTGGAGCACGTACACACCATTTGCACCCATGAATGTGGCCAAGAAGGAAAAATACTCTGATGAACCTATCTTGAGTCCCATGCCCACCTTTTTGTCTGGGGAGTAGAACACGGGGTGGAATCTGTTATCAGAACAAAGGTAGAAAGATGCTGGTAATATTAATAAGTAAGAATGATCTAACTTTTATTGCATGCTTACTTTGTGCCAAACATTATTCTAAGCTCTTTACCTACATAACTCATTTCATCTTCACAATCAACCCCATTTTATAAACCAGGAAGCTGAGGCACAGAGAGGTTAAGCAATTGGCCCAAGGTCACATAGCTAGCTAGTAGGGGAGCTGAGGACTCCAGGTGTGCTCTTAGCCACCCACTCTGATGCAGACAATAACAACAGATGTCGGGTCCAAGCACTGACTGAACGGCACACTGGGCTATGTCCTTTATAGCGCTATCTCATTCCATCTTCAGAATAGCCCCACGGAGTAAGCGCTAACATTATTGCTATTTTTAGATGAGAAACTGAGGCTCATGGAAATTATCTGACTTGTTCAGGGACACCTGCCTCATTTAAAGTGACAGAGCTGGGATAGGAAGCCAGGTTTGCTTGATTCCAGGGCCTGAGTTCAGGATCACTTCTCTGGGCAGCCTCTGCATTCAGATCCTTCTCTTGCTCTATCAGAAGCTCCCTTGGTGACTGGGACGAAGAGCAGACCTGGCTAACCACCTGCACCTTCATCCTCTGTCTGGGGGCTTTGGGCATGGAGACCCCTGCTTGGTGCACGCAGCTGAGGGGTCGGCTTTGTGGTGCTGAGCTGGTCTTGATGTGTCTCACACCAAAGGCTCTCAAATAAGCCTTCAGTGCATAAGCCCTGGATTTCTTCATTCCTCCATTCATCAAATACTGATGGAGTGCCCAGCAGACGCCAGGCCCTGTTCCACGGGCTTGGTGTCCCTTGGTGAAGACCTTGCTTCTATGGAGCTGAGCTTGGGGAACAGCGGAGAGGAAGGTCCCTCAAGTTCCTTTCATGTTCCTCAGGATCCATGAGGCCACTCAAGCTCACAGGGAAACTTTCCTGCAACAGCCAACTCAGGCCTGGAGGGGCCTGGAGACCTCATGCTCCTTTGCTTGGGATGGGCATGATGGCGAGTCCAAGAGGACACTTGTTTCTCCATTCTGATTGATTACAAAGCAAACATTTCATCAGGGAGCCAGCATGGGCATGGACTAGGCCAGCTAGATTCTGAGTCCCAGGCTGCTGCAATCATTGCTGATTGAGTCTCTAGGCAAGTAGGCACTTGGCTGCCCCATGCCTCAGTTTCCCCCTCTGTGACATGACATTGCTGAGAGGATTACCTGAGATAGCTCATGCTAACCACTCGCCGCAATGCCTACCCATGAATTAAACCGTCTCCTTCCTTTGAAGGACTGACTAGTTTTGTAGATCTCTCTAAAAGCCAGGCTTATGGAAGGGAAGCAGCTAGAAGGGATCTCTGGTGAGGAAATCACAAATTAGTTCAAGCCTCTCGTTGTACAGTTGAGGAAACTGAGGCTCCTCTAAGGGAGGGATGGTGCTGGGCCCTAGGACCTTCCAGTTTATTGGTTTTAAAGGGAGCTCCAATCATGTTTGGCTGTTGGTCAGACAGAGGGTATGAATTGTTCCTTGGAGTGGCTAGATCACAGTATGCCCAGGCCTGTGATCAGCCCTTGTGGGCTGGTCCAGAAATGCCCACCTACACCACCATGCAGACACCTCAAGCAGAATCTCAGAGAGTCCCCATTTTCCTGCCGCTGGTCTCAACAATGTCCCCGGGGTTGGGGAAGAGGGGAGGGGCTTCTGTTCCTGAGATCTGAGGAGCATGGGGAGGTCCCTGGTTCTCAAATCTAGTTAGACTGATAATAAATTATGTGCCAGGATGTCCAGCTCCCCACCCACTATACCCAGAAGCTTCTCTTGAGGATCAGGGGACAGAGAAGTGGAGGCCTCCAGCCTCTCTGACTTTTGGCTCCAGACTGCACGGGGCCTACAGCTCAGGCTGACAGAATGTAACCAAGGCGGGCCAGCCTGTTTGTCTGCTGCCATGGGCTGCAGAGGTGTGGCTTGATAATGATGATGATGACAGAGCTGATGGCAGCTTCTGCCCAGGTGGCTGCCCTGGGCGCCTGCCAGGCAGCTCATGAAGTATGCCAGCTGCACTAGCACACCTCTCACCTCAGAGGGATGGGATGGACTATGAACATGGGTCAGCAAGACCTGGGCTCCAATCCTGCCATGACATGGCGCCTTGGCACATGCCTCCTGCTCTCCCAGCCTCTGTTCTTCTCTGTGAGGGGCCACTGAGACAAAATATGTCTAGTCTCTAACAGCACTCATTCCATGCATGGCCAGTGCTCAGTAAAGAGCTTTTTTCCTACGAGTAGTCTGATAATTCTGAACAGTGCTTTAAATGCAGGTCTTCATGTATGAGAAAGAACACTTGTGTGTTTATGTGGGCGAGGGCCTACCACCCTGCTTAGCAAGAGTGTGTGTATCCAAGGAGGATGAGTACTGCCTCTTGCAGGTCTCAAATTTCACATCTGTGTTAGTTTTGTCTTCTTAAGGCTACTGCTTCGAAATTTAGGACTGTGAAAGTAAATCCTTAGAAATGGCTTGGGACTCTGGGCTCCATTTCCCAAACAGGTGTAGAGGCATCTTCTGCAGAAGCAGTAGGATGTAACCAAATCATTTGGGTGGTCATCGGAAGCCAGAATAATAATTTGTTTAGGAAACTCGGCCATGATCAAGTAGCCCACTTTTATAACTTCCTTGTTTATTTAGCGTTTTTGGACCTTTCCACCTTAGGAAATGGAACAGATTTCACATTGTTGACTTGTTATGCCATAACAGTTATGGAGTTTTTACATCAGCTTGGTTTACTTTTACCATGTCCTAAGCTTAGAAATTCTGGCATTTTCTGTTTCTACTAAAGTGTCTAATAAAAGATTTTTTTCCAGGTCCCTTTTACTTTCTCTGCAAGCCTCTCTGTAGAGGTGTGATAAGCCCTTAGGGCTCCCAGACGGTGGCAGACAATAAAATTGGTTTAACCATCTCACAATTCCTTTCTTCATAAGCAAAACTTGGAGCACAGAGAGAAATTTTCTCCTGTTGGGTCAAGTGTTATTAAGGGACAAAGTGCACAAGCATGTGGTCCCTTTTGGCCGGGAGAAGATATGAGGCTGTAACATAAGATCAAAGAACCGACATTCACTGTTGGGCTCTTGTTTTTAAAGGAACATGGCCATCTGTGCAAAGCTCGTCCTGGAAGAAGGTGGCTTCAGTCACTGCGATGCCTAAGAATCAAGTGAGTACGTCACAGTGGATCTCTTTTATGCTATTGAGCTGCTCTTGGGGGGCCTGGCTTCAGGCTTTGGAAAGGGCAGGGGCGCTTGCACTCTTTCTTCAAGCCCAGGTGACCTTGAGCCCATCTGGAGAAGCAATGGCTAGTGAAAGCCCTCTGTCTTCGCCTACAGCCTTCAAGGTTGCACAGCCCTCTCCCATTGTCAGAAGAGGGAGGAAGGCAGAGCTAGAGACTGAGCTGGTTTGGGGACATGAAAGACCGAACTTGGTGGCCTTTGGGTGGGTGGGATCTCTGTCCCCTCTTCCTCTAACTAAGACCAGCAGCCCAGCTGTCCTGACTCTGGTCCCAGCTCTGATGATGTTTCAGTCTCCTGCTGGCCCCAATCTGTGCCAAGGCAAGAATCTGGCCAGGCAGCTTCTGTGGGGAGTGACTGCAGAGAGCGCATGGTAGACCATTTGTCCAAGATTTGAAAATGTGATTGCAGCGTCTTCCTCTGCTTGGGTTTCATTCTGAGGAGAACAAACCTGTTTACATCTTTCTGTAGATTCAGCGGTCCATGGAGGCTGGAGGTCTAGAAGGCTAAGGTGTAGGCAGAAATCAGCAATGACTTGTTTTTGCACAGTCGCCCTCATGAACTGTTGTAAGAGCCTTCCCGCTGCTCTCTCTAGCTCCACTCTACCCCTCTGCTCTGCTCTCTGCAATGCTGCCAGAGACCTTCCTCGAAGCCCTGACAGTCACTCTGTTGTTGGCCTTCCAGGCCCCCTCTCGTCTGACCTCAGCCTCCTTTCCCGCCTCCCCTCTCTGCCCTGGTTCCAGTTCCCCAACTCCTGGAACAGATATCTGCATCCAGGACGTGCCATTCCCTCTGAGAAGCTTCCCTCACTGCCCCAAAGTCGGTGCCTCTCCTTCCTCGACACTCCCATAGCACTTTGTTCAGACCTCAACCCATCACTGGCTGAGTTAAGGTTTGTTCACTTGTCTGTCTCACCCACCAGCTGTGGGAGCCTTGAGGGCAAGCACCTGTCCTCCAACCTTCCTGTCTAAGCCAGACAGCGCCATCCCGGCGGCACAGTACGGGCATGTGGCAGGGGGTCAGCAGCTGTTTGTTGATTCAAGAAGTTCAAACCCTGAGGTTTCTTCAGGGCTTACGGCTCACGAAGTCCCATCTCAGTGTCTCGTGAGAGCCTTGCACCCTGGGAGGGGTAGTCACATCATTCTTATTTATTTTATAGACATAGAGGCCGAGTCTGAGCAGCCAGCTACCCTGTCCCCGGCCTCATAAGGACCAGGACCCGCGTCTCCTGTGGCCCAGGCTAGTCTGGTTTCTGTAATACCAATTTTCATAATTAGAGAGAGTCCAAGAGATAATTTAGAGCAAACCCCTCATTACCAGGTAGGGAAACTGAGACCTGGCCTGAAGATACTTTCTCAAGATTATATAACTAACTGGTACCAAATGGAGACTTGAAACACAGGCCCTGGACTTCCTGTGCAGCGCTTTTTCCACTCCTCCTCCCCTCTCCTCTGCCTCCCTTCTGTCTACAGCCATCAGGGAACATTTGGGGACCATCATCCTGCATCGGCCGGAAGGTAGAGAACTTAGTGAATGCCCTGCATTAGAGGCAATGTAGAAATGCATAAAACCGGCCCTGCCCTCCAGGAGTTTCCCTGGTTTTGTGAGACCAGGGCAGGGCCTTGATGGAGGGAGGAAGGAAAGGAGAGGGTGAGGGGAGAGAGTCTCAGGGATAACCCAAGAGGCTGGAGCCTGGTGGCAGCCCCTGGGAGGGGCAGCAGGTGGGCATGTCTGGGCACTTAGAGGCTGGCCTGGTGGGGTGAGGGGTCCATGTTGATAGTCCTGACCAGCAGAATGACAAGGGGTTGACTGGACCAAGGGGAAAGCTACTCCAGTAATTTTGATTCTTAGTGTCTGGGCAAGGAGGTCCTGCTTAGCCAGTCTGCAGTGGCCTAAGCATCCATCCTGCTTCCTGGAGAAACAGAAGGTAGAATGCATCACAGAGGAGGATCAGGCAATGGATACTGAATCCCATCACGGTCTGCAGTGTGTACGGAGAGGGAAGTCGTGCATTACTGGCTGGCTTATTCCTATTGTGCTCAAGTGAATTTTTATTTTCTTGTTTCTGATTGACCACACTTTCATTTGGTCTCTCCCCCTGCCCCTTTGAATCTTGGGGCTGTTCTGGTTGTTCACCCACTGGAGGCCGGATGCAGGGCCAGGTTAAACGCTGGCTACTCATTCCATTTTTACTCTGCCTCTTGTTGCAACTTCCTGGGCATACAGACTGAGGGGCTGGGGCTGATCGCAGGCTCCATCTTGAGACACTGACAGGTGGAAACATACAATTTGCCCAGATTACAGAGAATGTGATGTTTGCCTAATAGGTACCTTGGATTATTTTCCAAAACATGACCAGGTTATAAACTTCTCTAGGGCAGGGAAAGCATACGGTGTTATATCATTACTGTTTACACTTTAGGTTTACATTGCAATTTACATTTATAAAGATCATTTCATCTTCATAATAAGGCAGGTGGATTTACTTCCATTTTATAGATGAGAAATTTGACTTGGGCTGTAACCTGCCCAGGGTAATGTATCTGCCTATGGGCTGAGCTGGGACATAGTCCAGCTTCCTGTTTACAAATTCCATGGTCTTTCTACTCTACTGTGCTCCAACTGTATGTAAATCCCTTGGAGGGCCTAGGACATAAAAGGAGCTCAATAAATATTTGTTGAATGAGTGAACTTTGGCTATTGTATTTACCTTTCTTTTTTTTTTTTTTGGCCACACTTAACCATAAATGGATCCTCTTTGGCAGCAAGGGAACAGTACTCTGAGAAGTATTTGAATTTCTTGCTACGATAAGGAACTGGTGAGTTCTCTTCTCACCCAGCCTCACCTCCGGGAACTGGGTCATGCACACTAAATAATTAATTCCTTGAGTCTTTTACTCAGAGCTTCCTGCTCCCGGTGCAGAGAGGATCTGTCCAACATTGATCTTTGAAAGGTCCCTGGCAGTGGCTGATCCTATTGCTTGTTGTCACAAACCTTCAGATGACCCATCTAACTGCCCACAAAAGATGTTCTTGCCTAATCAGGTCAGATATCCACCAGTGGATTAATTCGATCCCCCCCACCACTCTTCCCCACTATCCTCTTCCAGATGGACGAAGAGGGTTGTTGTGGGTTATCTTGGATATTTAAGGTTTTGTAGGGACAGAAAGGACACCTCTTCCATCTCACTGGCCTCCAAACTCCCCCAAGAGTTTGTGGCGAGGGCTGGAGAAAGAACAAGTGGACCATGCCAGCTTGGGAAAGAATGTATAGGGTAGGGGAGGCAGTTATCAAAATATCTGCTGGGCCTGCTCTTTTCCCTAAGTGACACTTGGGTCATGTTGCTCAGAGCCTGCAGGGGATCCAGCTGGCCTCATTAGAGCAACCTAATTAGGTTCTTGAGGTCAACAGAGTAGAGTGGAAAAAAGAGTCGGCTGAGACCAAAGGCCCACGTTCTAGTGTTGGCTGCTCACAGTTTAGCTGCAGGGCCTTGGGCCAGTCACAGAACTTTACCTGCCCTCAGATTTTTTATTAAGGAAATAGGGGGACATAGAGGGTTGTGGCATCTTAAAGGAACCTCTTAGACTTCTGTGGTTCTCAGTGCCCACTCTGTCTGCCCTCATGGTTAGCGCTGTTTTCTCCTCCAGGTCGCCTACTCCTCACGTTGTCAGAGTTTGCTTCCGTAAACACTTTTCTCCTGGCCTTTATAGTTTTGCCACCTCTCCCCTGCCCCACCCTGAGATATATATACCAGGGTGCGTATAAGGACTGCTTGTTGTTGCCTTAGTCTCCTGCCAAACAGCATGGGGAAAAGGCTAATGTTTTGAAAGAGTGTTGGGGACCTGCTGGGTGTAGGTTGGTATAGGAGAGGAGTGGGGAAAATCCTTGAGTGGAAAAAAGCCAGCCCGGATGTTCAGGGGGTGTTGGTATCAATGTAAGAGTGTCCAAACCTGTAGAGAAATACTATAAAAATGTATTTGAACCAAATAGAGTATATGCGTGGAAGCAAGATCTCAATAGACAGAGATAAATGCTTCGAAGAAATGACAGTTTGCAGTTTCTTTTATGCATTGGGAATTAAGGAGGGAATATAAGCAAGAGTACATGAAGGTGGGAGAAAGCAAGGTGGGAACTGGATTACAGGGTAGTTAAAATTATGGGCTCTCTCGAAGGTTGGTCACGCTTAAGCAGAACGGGCCTGAAAAGAGGCATTTGAAAGGTGTGTTAACCTGGCTGCACAGAAACAATGGACAGGGCTTGCTTAAGGCAAAGATAAGCCTTTTGTTAAAGAAGTTGTATGCCTGGGGCGTGACTATCCACCATGACCTGGGCAGTTAGGAATTTATGATCAGATCTCCCTGTGGGATCACTTTCCCTAGAACCCCTTTTTCTTCCATGTTGAGGTACCCAATCTCTTGATGCCCCCAAGGTACCTGGACTCTGTTGAGTTGCCTGACTAGATAAGCTCTTAAGAATAGGGCCCCAAGTTTACCCTCTACCTCCCTGGCCAGGCTTTGTGCTCAGGGTGACCCGACACTCTGGAGCAATAAAGGTCACAGCGTTGGTAAAAGGCTGCCCAGTGGGAGCTAAGAGATGTCTCAGACAGACAACTAACACAGAAAGGGGAAACGCTGAAGAAAGTGGATCTGTCTCTAAGATTTATGATCTTAGAGCATTAAAGCTGGAAAGAACTTACAGATCAACTAATCTAACGCTCCTATTTTATGGGTAAAGAAAGTGCGACCCAGAGACATGACTTAACCAAACCCATGGAGCAAGCTAGTGGTGGCGCTGAGATGGCAATCAAGGTTCCTGATTCCCCACCGGGGGGATTGTAAACGTCGTAGGACGTGGCTCTTTCCAACGCCAAGTTGCCTCCTCACATGCGTTCAGCCACCACACTTCCCACTCCTCTTTGACCCAGAGCTT